CAAATGACCAAAATACCCTTGACTTGTCAAAGCCATAACTTGAGTTCTACAAATCCTATCAAGGACTTATAGTACTCTATAGAAAGCTAAGAGGATAAGGAACAACATTCATGTTAACCAAAATTTCATAGGAATGATCCTTCTAGGGCAAACGTTTCATGCAAGTGGGACAACTTTCAAGCTCCAAATTCACATACCTCAGATAACCTGTAACTTCTCAAAGTCATAACTTGAGTTCTACAAATCCTATAAAGGACTTCTAGCACTCAAATTAAAGCTAAGATCATGCTCTACAACATTCATGTTGGGGGAAAGATGAGATAACAATCCCATTTTGAGCTAAACTGCCTTGAAGATAGGGGTCAAACTAGGGGATTTTACACTGTCAAGCCTTAGAAACCCTAGCTTGAAACTTCTCAAACTCTTCAATCATGATGAGTTGACCTTGGAATCATCCTTATAGCATCTCAATGCATCAATCCATGATCACATGGATCTTGGATTAGGTCTCAACCTTCTTCAAATCCTCAGTTGACTTAGGGTTGGCCTAGTCAAACCCTAATTGCACCACTCATGGCTGAGCCTTATCAATCTTGCACAATGACCTGTCTAGGCCTCAAAGTGACCTTCAACACTTCTAATGAGCTCTCTCAAGACCTCAAGTCTAACTTCATGGCCTCAGAATCATCTGATGACTTCCCACAACTCTCAAGTTAGGAGACACACCCTCTTGGTTTCAACCCCCCTCTCTGAGGCTCTTTTAACTTCTCTGACAAGGATATCAACCCTTGAGCACCTGGATAGCCTTCTTAGCTAGCTTCATAGTCTTGTATAGCTCTTGACTAGTAATTATACCTCTTGATCTCCTGCATACATGTCAATGAAATGCAAATGATAATGCTAATGTGAATGAAATGAAACATAAGCTAGGTAAAGAAAGGTTGGGCAAATTTTGGGGTGTAACACATCTAGGCGAAAATTCTCTAGAAGATGATCCAAAAGCAAATAATATGACGATTTGATTCTAGAATTACACAAACGAAGGTATCTCAAAATGCCCATCTCCGAAGTAGAAGTAATCAACGAAGACATAGACATCAAGAGCAGGATCATAGAGAATTTGGCATGCAGTAGCATTCATACATGTTCTATCTTTCCTTTTTCCACCTTTTACTAAAACATTGAGGACAGTGTTTGGTTTAAGTGTGGGGGAGGAATTCTATCGCTTTCATTTTATCGCTTTTAGTTTGATTTATTGTTTTATATTTTATACTTTTAGGAATTTTATCTATTTTTAACGTTATGTCAAAATCTTTGAATGTGATGTTGAGTCTTTATGCGTGGTTTCCACTTGTTATTCAATTTCCCCAAAAATTCCAAAATTTCAAAGTTTGAACCTCCAAAAATTTTTTGCTTCGATTCATGACATGATACTCTGAGAGTATATAGGCTGTTCCTGCTATGTTAGAAAAACTTGGGAAAGTTTTGATAAAATTGATATCATCCTAATACCCTTAACCCCTTAAATATGCAAAGTCAATTTGAGTACCCATTATGCCGAGACCTTAAAGCTCCAGTTTTTTAGTAATCCCTAAGTAGTTTATTTAAGCAGTCAACACCATCCTAAACACACTAAGTAAGAAACCAATGCAAATAAGTGTATAATCTCTGGTTTAAAACGAGAAATTAAGAAAGAAAAAAAATTATTATGAATAATAAGACATGTTCCTTCTAAGTTAGGTGCTCCTCACCCGATCACTTAGCCCAACGGTACAAACTCTTTAAGTTCAATTGATGCTTAAGCATATTTGCAGAGAAAAATGAAATAACAATGAGATCATAGTCACTAACAGGTTTACTTTCCATGAATGTGTATGGATAACGGGCTTAATGTGATTGCACTAGAATGAAATGGGGTGAGAGAGCATGAGATATAGGTTGAGTTATAATGGCATGATTCAAGCTGGTTTGCATAAGTAGGGAGTCTTTGAAATTGTGTCGTTACGGTATCCTTGGTATTGATATTTAGTACCTATCAATCTAACATTAGCCTAGCAGCCACGTATGATTAGCGTTTCATCGTTTCCTTGTTTCAAATTATGCTTATTTCTTTTTTTTTACCGTGTTGGTTGATTGCTTGAGGACAAGCAATGGTTTAAGTTTGGGGGTATTTGATAACGCGAAATCATATCGTTTATTTTACTTGACTTACATGAATTTATTTGCGATCATTGTTAATTTATTTTGATTTATGTTTTATTATACGGTTAATTTACTATGTTTTGCAGATTTATGAGAATTTGGATTAAAGAAAGAAAAGAAAAAGAAATGGAAGGAAAATAGAGAAGAAAGAAAGAAATGGAGAAGAAAAATAGATTTTGTAGGTGTGACGGTCGTCACAGACGCGTCATGATTGTCACGAGCGTCATGGTCGTCACAGACCTGTCATGATCGTCACGAGCATCATGATCGTCACAGACTCGTCATGATCGTCACGATCCCAAAGTTCAGTACGTGCAAAAAACTAGAAGTGGCCACGAACACCTACAACTTAATTTCTTCCTACACTTTCCTCCTTTTCTCCTACACTTTCTCCACTAACTGCCCACTACAGGAAGTTACGCCCACTTCCCCCATAACTCGTGCATGATCTCTGGAAGTTGAGAAATGAAATATCTCCTATAAATAGGTCTAAGATTCATAGCTCTAGGAGGGAGGCTTCGATGTATCGAAGTGCTGTCAAAAATTCTATTGAAGCTATTTTTCCATTTCTTGTTGTTATTTCTTTTCCTTTTTCCTTTAGTTCAGAGCATCGTATTTCTTTCTGCACTTTTATTTCGCCATAGTAGAATCCTGCCGACATTGTGGAGGACTACTCGAGAATTCAATTTCGGTACTACTTTCTAGGTTTTTATTAATTGAATTATTACTTTATTTTCTGTTATAATGCATGTTTTATTATTTTGCTGTTTATGTTTATTTTCGTCTGCATTACTTATAATGTCTAGCTAAATTATTTTTATCGGTATGTAACCGAGTTAGTAGGACGGGATTCGATAATACCCAGTGTAACTTACCTTTTTATAAACAGCCTTTCTGACCGTAGTTTTTAATCTAAACTTCTAAATAAACCTTTGTCACGACAGTGAGAAGCTATTTACGGTGGTTTTGCCATGAGAGTGGGAAACCATATTAAGAATCGAACCGACACGTGAAAGCGCGGGGTTTGAACCAGATAGTAAAAACTAGGCATTGATTTTAAACACAACGAAAGCGCTTTAAAAGAAATTAGAATCTATTTATTTTCCAAAGGTAGTTTTAACCCTGAATAGGACTGCGAGAGCATACATTCCGCCTTAGAATTATGACCCGAGTCAACAATCATCGTGAGACAAAGGTCTTTAAATGAGTATTTTTTCCTGAAAAGTGTTTGCAAAGACTAAAAAAGCATCGGCGACCTGTCGAATCCCCATAAACTAAAGCATTACATACCGATATCCCTTTTTCGCTTTTCCTTAAACCAATTACCTTTATTTCCTTTGTATTTAATTTCATTCGCATTTAACTTCCCTAATTCCATTAGCCTTAACTTTATGCCGCAACAATAGATAACAGTAGGTTGACATTGGTCTCTGTGGGTTCGACAATCTTTTATATTACTTCGATATTTCCGTGCACTTGCAGACGCATCACATACTTAAGTGATTACAATTAACAATAACATAAATTAAACAAACATAAATTAATATCAAAACAACAATTAGAAAACAACAATAACATAATCTAATACTAAAATAACAATCTGGAAATAACAAAAACAAACCCACATAAAACAACTAAGTGCATCAACTTGTCTAGGATATTACAACCATCAAGGTAATCTTCTTTGGTGTTAACATCATCATAAGGACACCAACATAATTTCCCACTTTTCTTCAATCACGAGTAACTCCCCTTCTCCCTGACTCCTCAACTAGCCTCTCAATATTCTTGATCTTTTCACCTACAACAATATCTCCTTCTAGCCTGCGGTTCAGTTTTCTATGCAAATGCTCCAAAGTCTACATGTTACATAGTAGGACCATCATCAGAGGCTTTGTTGCTGAAAAGTAAACTATGACATTTCTTTTTATTAGAGGAAATGTTGGAAACGGTTCCTCCGATGATGATGACGACGACGATGAACGTTAATTTAGAAATGCGGACATTCTATAAAACTTTGAAAATTATGAAGGGTTCAGTCTATTAGTGATAATTGTTGTGAAAGAAAAGATAAGTGTGCAGTCTTATTTATATAAAACTGAAATAGTACGGGTCACATAGGCGAAATTACCCTTCATGAAATTATAACATAAAAAAAGGGCATGTTACTGAGACGCCGTACCATATGTCGCCTCCTCTGGAGGCTAGGTTTTAAATTTTAGGGCATACGCCATACCATATGGCGACTCAGGTTTGATTTTTGAGAGCTGACACCATATGAAATGGCGACTCAGTTGGAGGCCAACTTAATCAGCCATTTCATATGACGCCTCAATGCAGAATCATGTCATTTTAGTAATTTTTTTAATTTCTCTGTTTAATTGGCATTTTAATTAAAAAATAGGATTATTTAAAAAAAATTCCCATAACTCTTGTATTACACAATAACATAGAATATTAATCCCAAAAAGATTTTAGTCTAGAATTATCTAAATGAACTATTATACTTAGCCTGAATGATCTATCACCGCAAATTATATCTTTGCATGTAAGTTATAACAAAGCATAGTTATTTGAAGAAAATGTGTGGCCATGCATTAAATACACATCATTCATTTGGCTCTCGAGTGCTATCCAACTTGCCTTTGTCTGGACAAGACCCACACATGATGGGACCAAAACAATAATGCAATTCAAAGATAATGTAATCCAATTTCTATTTAAGTCATGAGTTTGCATATACTATCATCATATCAACCCTGTTAATTTCTTTCTTCATTTTGTTTTTCTTTCCAAAAATGGTTCTAGCTGGCAAACTTACTACTGAACTTGATATCAAAGCACCCGCTGACAAGTTCTTCAAACTATATGCATCAGAACTTCACGAATTGCCAAATCATTGTGAAAATATTCATGAAGCCAAGCTGCATGAAGGTGATGACTGGCATCACACTGATACGATTAAACACTGGACATATGTCATAGGTAATTTATAGTCTATTTATATGATCATCTTTGATTGAGTTATTTAATTTATTTAAAAACTATTTAATTTGTTTACAGTAATGTTATTCATACACCAATATCTTACACCAATATTTACACTGTATATACCATTTATTATATTTATACAGTAAATAGTGTATTTTTTTAATAAAAATTATTTTCATAAACAGTGTTATAAAAGTATCATGAACAATTCATGAACAGTGGTTCGTGAACAGTTATTTAAGTTATAAAACAAAGTTGGTTAATGAAATATAAAATATTGGTTAATGAAGTGATGAAATTGATTTATAAACGTTCAGATATTAAAAATTGTTTTTAGTAGTAAAACAAAATTAATTAATAAAAATAAAAAGTTGGTTATTAAAGTTATGAAGTTGGTTAATAAACTTTTAGATATTAAAAATAATTTTTAATAATAAATGAATTTGGTTAATAACATGTAAAATATTGGTTAATAAAGTTATGAAGTTGGTTAATTACACAATTTCATATCATTATCATTTAATTTTAAAATAGAAAAAAATAATTTTTATATATTTTAAAAAAAATATATTTAATATTATAATATTTCACAAATGGTATAAGAATGTCATTTCTCTTTTACAAAAGAAGGGACAGAAATTGAAAAGAAATATTACACAAGAATAAATTTAAAATTTGAAACTCCCATAACATCAAGAAAGGCCAAGTTATTAGACCAATAACAATTGGGTTAACATTCAACGTTAAGTCGCCATACGAAATGGCTGATCAAGGTCACTTGACTTGAGTCGCCATTTCATATGACGTAAGAGTTCAATTTTTAGACCTACCCTATAGAAGATGCGCCATTTCATATGACGACTCTCTTTTGTAGGTTTTTTTTTTTGCTTTTTTTTTCTTTGTTTTTTTTAAGTTTTAGTTATTTTTTATATTTTAATTTTATAAAATAATTAATATAATATTTGTAATTTAAATAATGTAAAAACTATATATAAATGGAAGAAATAGTAAAATATAATAATTTATAATATAATAAAAATTACAACAGATAAAAAAAGAAAATTAATGGCCGACTCTATCTAAATGATCAGCGGTACCACTTTCTTGAGGTGTATTTGGTCTTTGCGTGTTGACCCGTGGAAGAGGTATTTGTTCGGATGGCCCCCGGCGTATCACATAATTTTGAAGCATTTGACCCCAATAGTCGGGAGGGCTACTATCAACGGCGCTTCCATAATTAAATTCAATGCCCGTGTTTTCATAGTTTTGTCGGGGAGGTTCGGTGGAGTATGGACGGGATGATTGTCTGAATTGGTACATCGAAACGGTTTGGAAACGATGTATTGGTTGTTGCGGGATTTGGTATTCAAAAAGTGGATATGTATTTTGTTTGTAGGAAGATTGACTGTATGGTGTGGGTTCAAAAGAGTTATCTGGGATATAGGTGGATGAGGTAGGATAAAAAGATGTATTAGGGCTATATGCATAAGTGGTGTCGGTTTCAGAACGATGACGATATGGGTAAGGCTCTTGTTGTTGTGATTGGGTTGGTGGCATGTATGTGTTACGGTTTTGGAAGATTGTTTGGATGGGCATAGTTGGATGTTGCGTATAAGATGGTGTTTGATGTTGGACATTGGGTTGCTGATGTGGAGTCGAGGAAGACGCACGTTGTCTCGGGTCAATCAAATATGTCAGCTCAGACATAAATGGTTGTGAGGTTGTAACCGACCTAAACCAAATCATATATTGATAACTTGTCATAACAACTTCCACAATAGGGTCGATTAGGATGTGTTGACGTCGATTCTTCCAATGCAGACACATCTCTTTCGCAAAATCCTTCCAATGACCTACACTCCATAGTGTATCCACCCATAGCTGATGTCATTGTCTCAATGACGTCAGAGCATATGGAATATTCTGATGCATCCCGAACTGTACTTTCACCCGGTCATTTTGGTGCATCTCCACTGTAGTGAACCTAATGATAGGTGTTTTAGATGTCTACATGGCAGCATCATCAACATTGGGTTGGTGGTCGAGACCCTCGTACGACATTCAGACAAACTACATTAACAATATATGCAATGAGAAATACAAGTTTATGTTTATCAATTAGAAAAAGTAAAGGTAGATAAATTATCTCATCTGGCCAAATGTGTTCAATAAGGTTGCGGTCCACGACTATGGAGTTCCTGGGACATCTTTGGTAATTCATCCCCGGAACAGACCACCTAAAAAAAAGAAACACAAATAAATTAGACACTAAGACACATTGTACAAATAATTAAGTTACAAATAAACTTACTTGTTAGCGTATGAGAATGTGAATGGATTGCGGTTGACTGGAGCAAGTGTTGGAATCCTAAACCAACCCCACGCTTGAAGAAGATAAGCGCAGCCATAAAAGTACACAAATATTTTTTTTTGCATTTTACATAATGCACTATATAGATGGCCGAGGACAGCTGATCCCCAACTATATGTGCACACTTTGTTAATGTTGTGCGACAACGGTAAATACATAATATTTACAGTATTTCCAGTACTGTCTGGAAATTAAAAATGGTCAAACAATATCATAATATAGCACCCAGTTTTAAGTATCTTCTCATACTCGGTGGACTCCTCATTTAACACAATATTATTGTAGTGTTGTCTGAGGTATTTCAAATTAATAACTTGCCCCCTTGGTCGACCCTCACGTTCTGGTTGACGTGTGTCGACACATAGAGGGGCGTCCAATAAATCTTCGCAAAGTTGGTCATTAACATCAACTTTGCCGTTGACGGCCTTATCGTTGATGTGTAGGCCAAGTAACATGTATACATCCTGTAAAGTTATGGTACACTCATCGAAAGGTAGGTGAAATGTGTGTGTTTCTAGTCTCCAAAGTTCTAACAACGTTAGAATAAACAATATAGGATTTAAAAAATACAAAAATTCAAAAGTGACCTACAATTCATTAAAAAATACCCTTGCGAATATATACTTTTTTCAACAAATACCAAAAATTAACAACGTAGGGTTTAAAAATATCAAAATTCAAAGGTGACCTACAATTATATATTAATAATATATTTAATATGTTTTAAAATTATATATTAATTATATATTTATTACGTTTTAAAATTTAAACCAATATATCAAATATTATCAATTATTATTTTTTTAATAAATATTAAAACTTATAAAAAAATTAAAACGTAAAAAACAAAGCAAATAAAAAGAAAAAAAAAAACCCTACATAAGGGAGTCGCCATATGAAATGACGCATTCTCTGTAGGATAGGGTTTGAAAATTGAACCCTTATACCATATGAAATCACGACTCAAGTCAATTGACCTTAATCATCTATTTCATATGGCGACTCAACGTTAAATGTTAGTCAATTTTATATATTTTTTAAAATCTATTTTTATTTGATAATTTATTTAAACAATATGGTTATTTAAAAAAAATATTTGAACAAACAGTTTTATCATACTTACATGATAGTATAGAACAATACTAGACAATTTTATTGTGTTAGAGGAATGTTGCACTACTCTCACTTTCATTTATCATATTCTTTTAATCCGTGCAAATTAAATATGACATTTATTTAAGGATGTAAAAAATACTTCATTTGATATATTTATGAACCGAACAAATGCAATTTTAGTACCCTTTATTGATAATTAACAAAGAGAGAAACGAGTGGGAGAAATGACGTAGAGAGTGATAAAAGAGAAATGAGATGTAAGAAAGGAGTCCATACTAGTTCGTATTTTGTCTATCATTAGCTATTTTACTTTGTACTTAGAAAATTAATCAGATGATCTATTTCGAAATCAATCAAAATATAAAATAATAATAATAATAATAATAATAATAATAATAATAATAATAATAATAATAATAATAATAATAATAATAATAATAATAATAATAATAATAATAATAATAATGATTACGAGTTTGTTCCAAAAAAAAATTGGTATGACCTGGCTATTTTATTTTAGAAACAAATGTATCCAAAAATATATAATTATAAAAAAAAAACAATGTGATAGTATTTATTTTAAATTTAATCCTTATATTTTTCTATAATTCTATTATTAAACTTTGTTATTTTTCTTGGTATAAATTGTCCATGACATGACAACAGCTGGTGAAGTACACACATGTCACGAGAGTATTGAAGAAGTTGATGAACAAAACAAAAAAGTAATTTGGAAGATTTTTGGTGGAGATATTGATAAGCACTATAAGGACTTTAAGCTCATCCTTGAAGTAAGTGATAAGGCTGATGGTACTGCTGTTGTTAAATGGACAGTTGAATATGTGAAACTTAGTGAGGATATTAATCCTCCAAATACTCAAATGGACTTCTTATGCAAAAACACTCGAGATGTTGATGCTAATCTTGTCAAGGAAAAGGTAGTTCAATAAGATATAAGGAAAGAAGGATGTCAATGCATGTGGTTTGCTTAAGTGTTCATCTATATAATTAATTAGTGTGATGGTTGTAATATTGACTTCTGCTGTTAGTGCTTCAGGAATATGATTGCGGTGTGTTGATCTTTCGCTTGTAATATGTCCGTTTAAGAATGTGTCTTAAATTTTGTGATGCAAATAAATGAATGAATATTATTGCTTTTTAGTTTATATATGTCTATCTGTCTATGTGTAATAGGTTTTCTTAAAACAAAATGAAATATTCTATCCATTCCTTTATCACTAAAATTCTTAAGTTTCTCTGAAACAAACTCTCATATTTTAACTATCTCTTTGCAATATTGTTTTGTTAGTTTTGAATTTTATTTTTCTTTTAATAATCAAAACTATATAAACAGGAAACAATGGTACTTACACTAATCATAATAATTACAAATAGACATATGTTTGTATTTTTTACCAACCCTCCACCAAGATAATAGTATTATTCTCTGCAACATCAATTCATGATCCCAAATTTCATCATTAAACATTATTTAATTTCTTGCATACCAAATGAACCAACATACTATTGTCCAAATCCCAACAACTTTTTCCATTGCAGAAAGTTTTCAAGTAACTACCATATCTTCCTTCTAGAAATCCTTCCCAAATTACCTCATTTTCTATCAACAGTCTCCATATCCACTTGGAGATTAAAGCCATATTAAACAGCCCCAAGTCCCTAACATCCAAACCTCTTTCCTCCTTTGATCTGCAAACCGAACTTCATTTTACCCAAGCTATGCCACTTTTATCTTTAGAACCAGACCAAAGAAAGGGTCGTTGGATAGCCACCAGTTTTTGCAAAACCTTCCTAGGGACCCTGTAAAAGGCAAATTAATGTACAAGCAGATTGGAAAGGGCCGAGCTAATGAGCGTGACCTTCCCTCCCATAAACAAACATCTACCCTTCCAAGTAGCAATTCTAGAATTAACGTAGTCAATAACCGGATTCTAAAACGATATGCTCCTGTGGTTAGCTCCCACCCATTGGCCCAAGAATTTGAAAGAGAAAGCATCAATTTTGCAAGCCATGAAGATTTTGCAGCCTTCAAAAATTATTCTTCTACACCGATGCCAAATGTAGAGCTTTTGCCGAAATTGATCTTCAAACCTGAGATAAGCTCAAAACCCTTCAAAATTGATTTGAGAGTCCAGAAGTTTGACTAAGAACCATCATAGATCATCACAGTATCATCAACTTGTAATAGATTGTAGGAGCCATCCTCCCCAACTTTGAAACCCTTTAACATGCCTCCCTCAAGCGCTCTATTGACTAGAATGGCCATACCTTCTACAATAATTAAAAACAAGAATGATGAAAAGGGGACTCCTTATATGAGGCCCCTAGTAACCTTAAAACTCCTTAGTAGGACTACTGTTGCGGTGAGAATCGGATATCAAACTATTAATTAACTTGAATCACAAATTATGATTCACCATCGAGCTTTGATTTATCCAAAGGAAAGGGTAAAGATCGGGAAAAAAAACCTAATTGCATTGTAAGAACAATGCAGGAGATCTAAGGTTCGGAGGTTGATTATACCTAGGAAAAGTGTTAGCATCCTAAGTATCTGTATTACTCTATAGGAATCTCTTGTTTTATTGTGTTATTTGTTATCTATCTGTTATCTATATGCTAAAGGGTTGAAGGTAAAAAGGGAGATCTAAGGTGTTATTTCTAAGTATGCTCGCCAAGACATCGCATCTCGTGCATATGCATATTGACGGGAATAGAATCAGAGCATTCGTAGTGCCCCTCAATAAGGGTGAGGAACTCTTGACTGTGGTCAAGATTCTAGGGGGAAGTAAGTGTTCATAGTGAGACACTTACATGGAGTGCGGCGACTCCAAATCTAAAGTTGAGTTGAAAGGGAAAGATAAGTAAGTGTCCATGGAAGAAACTTATGTGGAGTGCGGTGACTCTGATCCTAAGGCTAGGATGAAGGTATAAAAGAGAATGTCCATGGCAGGACGTTTGCATGGAGTGCGGCGACCCCGATCCTAAAGTTAGGATGAAAGGAAATGACTTAGCGCTATGTGTGACATGACAGTCAACGAGGGGATATCCTTTCCTTTGAAATGTATATAAGCAACACAACTATGGTGGGCATTCATCACGCCTGTGCGACTTGGTGAAAGAAAATTATAGAATCCTACTCAAAATAATCCAACAAGATATCAACATAATTTAACTAAAAAACCTGATGAAGACTAACGGAAAGGTTAATCAAAATTAAATCGCGAAATCGATCCTAAACCTAAATCATCAATAAATTAGAGACTTAAATAAAAAAATTAGTCTAAGTCAAATACCACATATCAAAGTTAATCAAGAATTCACCATCAAACTTAACATCAAGAACAAAATCAAATATCAAACATTAAAATCAAGATTAAGGTCGACATCACTAAATTAATTAACCATTAAAAATTCAATATCAATCATTAATTTAAATCAAAATCCACATGTAGACTAAACCCAAATTCATAAATAAAAAATAAAAAACTAAAGACAAAAGTAAATAATTAAACAATGAAATAAATAATGATAATGATAATAATAATAATAATAATAATAATAATAATAATAATAATAATAATAATAATAATAAATAAAATAAAAACCAAATAATAAATAAATAAATAATAATTTAAAAAAATAAACAAAAAAACAACATGGGCCGGTGGTGGTCAAGCCCACCCGACCCCAACATCAATAATAAAAAAAAATAAAAAAAAATTGAGGAAGCAAGATCCTCATCTCTCTCGACTTCCCCTTTCTCACTATTCTCCCTCAATCACTCTTATCTTTCTCTCTCTCGCAACTCTCACGCCACCATTTCTTCTTCATCATGTTAGTTCGCCAAGAAACTCGGTCCGCCACCACTATCTCCTCGTCTTTTTCTCCACTACAAGAAAACTTGGATTTTGCCTAGTGATTTAGTGACGTGGTAAACACGTGGGAAAAAAATAGGTTGCGACGTGTAAACCACGTCACTACCATATTTAATTAATATATCCTGCAAACTTAAAATCTGCAACGATAAGTGTTGTTTTTAAGAGGGAGGGAAATTTGAATTTTTCAAAAATTTAGTTGTGGCGTGTTAAACACATGGGAACAAAAAATTAAAAAAAAGTATTTGTATTTGCGACATGAGGGAACATGTCACAAACTACCACATGGAAAACACATCGCAAGTTTAAAAATGATAAAGGTGGACAGCTTTTACTTTTACTGTTACAGAATTCCCATGTGAATCCCACGTCACAAATGAGACACATAAATGTTTTAAACTTTTCTTTTTACCGTTGCTTTGGCCTTTAATATTGCAACGTTAATATATTAAATGTTGGGAAAGTTCCGACGTGCATCTCACGTGGCAACTTTCCCATGGGTTCGTTCCCATGTGTCTACCACGTCGCAAGTGTTGCTATATCTTAAATGCTCAGAATCCTTTTACGCATCCTCCTTTCTTCTTCCTTTTCCTTCTTTCTTGCTCCTTTCCTCCTTCTCCTTCTTCTCCTTTTGCGTGTTACTCCTCCATTTTTGAATCAAAGCTACACAAATATTTAAGGTAAATGTTATTTTCCTTGTTTTTGTTTTTGTTTTACAATTTATTTTAATTTTTTCTTATTATTAATTATTAATTTTTTTTCAGATCGAAGATTAAAAACTTGCTCCATTGAACCTTTAGAAATTTGCTCCATTGAGGTATTTACGCAATTAAATTTATTTATTTTTCATATCTATAGTGATATATGAAATGTTTAGTTATTGATTATAAAACTTTAGAATTGTTGTTGTTGTATGTAAATATGTAATGTTGTTTGCATGTTTGAAAGATAAAATTAAAAATATTAGAAGATATATTATATTAGAAACAAAATATATATTTTTAAAATTAAAAACAAAATATATATTAGAATAATATGTAATAGAATATATATTAGAAACAAAATATGTAATGTTGTATTTAAATATGTATTTAATTTTTAAAAACAGAATATATATTATATTAGAAAAAGTAGAATTTTTAAAAATATTTTTAGTAAACAAAATTGTAAATAGAAAAAATTAAAATGTATTTTTTTAAAAACATAATGAATATGTATTATATTTAAAATGTGTTATTTTTAGGAAAAGTATTTTTATTAAAAAATAATGAATATGTAGTATATTTTAAATGTGTTATTTTTAGTAAACAAATTATATATTATATTATAGAATATTATATTATAGAATACTTATTATATTTTAGTAAACATAATATATATTATTTTAGAAAAAACAGATTTTTAAAAGTAATGAATATATATTATATTTTAAATGTGTTATTTTTAGTAAATAAATTATATATTATATTTTAGAATATTATATTTTAGAATATGTATTATATTTTAGTAAATATAATTTATATTATTTTAGAAAAAATAGATTTTTAATAATAATGAATATATATTATATTTTAAATGTGTTATTTTTAATAAACAAATTATATATTATATTTTAGAATATTAAATTTTGAGAATATGTAGTATATTTTAGTAAACATAATTTATATTATTTTTAAAAAAATAGATTTAAATTTGTGTCGAAAAAGATTTAAAATAGATTTTAGTAAACATATTTTATTAGGTTGGTGTCGAAATAGAAAAAATAGATTTAAATTTGTTAAATTAATGTGAAAAGAATTATATTATTTTGCATATTAAAATCACATATTTTATTAAACTGATATATAATGATAGTACAAATGTGCAGTATGGAATATTTTCGTTACTATCGTAGTTGGATGTACGATATAACGTTACCAGACATACGTGGACTTACACCAAATTTTGAGGAAGGAGTTAATGGATTTATCACGTGGGCATTTGCACAAGAATGTTGTCGACGTGAAGGAGGAGTAAGATGTCCTTGTCTTAAATGTGAGTGTAGACCTATAATT